TGGCCAACGCACGGGCTGCTCGTGCGAAGATGCGTTTTTTGCATAGCTCCCCGCAGATTTTTGTCGTTAACGGCACTGATTTTTCTGGCAAGCTAAAAGAATTTTGGACTGGCCGCCAGCACTGTCAGGAAACATCCCTTCAAAATCCCAGTCTTTTAGCTTCTCAATTTTCCGAGTTAACAACATACCCGGAAGAAACTTTCAAGGCCCATGCGTAGGTACCATGCTTACTCGCCGGCAGGGTTTGAACTCGTTAATACCTGTTTGGAGGGGAACGTTGCCCTAAGATTTCAGTGTTCTAGATTCTCGGATCCCCGAGTTATGAACTTACCCCAAAAAAATTTTGGCGGGCCCGTACGCGAGTACCACGCTTATCCGGGAGATGATTTTCAGTTCATTAACACCTACTTGAACGGAGAACGTTGCCTTAAAGATCTCAGCGTTCTAACTTCTCTGAAATCCGAGTTATGAACCTACCCGAAAACGTACGCAAGTACTGCGCTTTTTCGGGGGATGAGTTTCATTGCATTAATACCTAGTAGAACGGGAACATCACCCTAAGATTTCAGCTTTCTAGCTTCTCAGATCCTCGAATTATTAACATACCCCAAAAAAATTTTGGCGGGTCCGTATGTGGGTACCACATTTACCCGGGGGATAAGTTTCAGTGTATTAACACCTTCTCGGACGGGAAACATCCCCCTAAGACTTCAGTGCTCTAGCTTCTCAAATCCCCGAGTTATGTACTTACCCCAAAAAAACTTTGGCGGGCCCATACGCGGGTACTACACGAGTGTTGGCGCCCATTTTGGGGATTGAGGCCGGCACGTGCATGTAGATTAGGTTCCCGAAATTTCAGCCCCGCAGCTTTTATAGTTCCTGATATGAAAGTGCGTGACAGGCTCACACACAGACACACAGGCGCACAGACACACATACGCACACACAGACGACCCCTCGTCAATATGCGTTTTTGCATTGCATAGCTGCAAAAAACGCATAATAAACCGTTTTACAACAGCAAGGTTCGAGGCATCGCAAGCGATTCGGTTCCCCATCAGATTCACCACCTGCTGAATGATAGTGGATTTTCCCCAGATGGGCGAACAGTTGCTATCGCCTGCAATTAGAATTAATGTCGTTTCTGATCGCTTTTGAGCCTCAGATAGTCCCGAAAAGAAAAGTCTGGCATAGCAGCAGCCAGTTAATGCAAAGTCAGAAATTCGGGAACATCAAAAGCTTTGCAAAAGGAGATTTTTTTTTGATCCCATGGATTAAATTATGCAAATTTTGTTTTTCTTGTAGATGCTGAACGGAATCGGCAATGTGTACTATCCGTTCGTTGGTATGCCGCCACCGCTGCTGCCACCACCACCAGCTGCGCCCATTTGGGGGCCGCTTCTTGGAATTCCTTTCGGACAACGGATTTTCTTGCGGACTCCATGGATTTTCCGGTTTTTCCCGTATAAATTGGTTTAACATGATGGACGCACACTTGTTTTTGTGAAATTTTTCAATGCGCATTTGTTGCTAAGCCAAATAACACTGCACTATTGAGAAGTCTCGAAAAACCGGTTAGAACTGATGGATCAACGAAATGCTGGGTTGGCTCGGCTTGAAATGATCAACAAATCTAGTGTTTCATAATTTTCCTGATTCTGAATTTTGCCGTAAAATTACTGGTCGAAAGTTGAAACGTTTAACGTGCACTTGATGGTGAGTGTTTCTGGGAAACAATTTCAGAGCCTCAGGCCTCTGAATTTTGTTAAAATATCGAATTTTTTGAAAATAAACAAACACAACCTTTCAGTGCTAATTCGTTTTAACAAAAATTTTCATTCGCATTAAAAGGTCGAAGGTTCCGTTGTGGTCCAGTGGGTCCGTGAAACATCATTTTTATGCGTTTCTGTATACATGCAAATTGCAACCCAGCCTGGAACGCGCCGGGCTGGCCCGTGCAATCTCGTGTTTCTGCACTGAACTTGAAGTATTCAGGCGTAGAAATCAAAATTCAAATTCGGACCATGTTAAAACAAGAATTAAACTAAGTAGAAAGTTGTAATTTTGTGACGTTATTTGTCATCTACTGGTGTGCTTGTGAAAGTAAATTGTTGGTCTCTTTTCGCATTCCATGCACAGGCACATGAATTTGATGCAGTTTTTTAGCTTAAGTACTAAAAGAACTGGGGAGAATACAGGCAATTTCCGTGCGGATAAGCTTCAAAACTACTTTCACATTTCTTTTGTGTCTCAAGCACTCCCCCATATACGGACATATGAAATTTAACGCAGCTCCAAACCAAACAGCTAGGTGCTCGAATTCGCTGAGCATTGACTGGGATCGTACTTATTGGGAGATAATG